TGCATTCAGATAAACGAAACGTGAGTATTTGGGCCGTGTATTCAATTTCCATACTATTATAATCGGGTCAATGTATTACGACTGAAAATTAATTCCACAGCACTTGGTAGCAACAAACAACGAGTAATTACATAAGACCTCAGTTTTTAGTAGTTTTTCAGATGAACGTAATTCAGACTAAATGAGGCTTCACGATCTTTCACAACGCCACCGCAAAATGCGTAAATTAACATGTAGGGGTTGCGCTAATGTGATGTGTTTACATTTCGGCATAATTATAATATTTGAGACGACGCACTGCGCGTGATCAAATTCTTAGAATTGGAATAAAAACAAAACCGATAACAAAGCTTTTTCGCGTAGTATTGTGTGGCAGTATAACAAAATAACTTGTCCCATATTCGGCCACAAATTTCCAGTTAAAATATTTTTCATTTTAGCAGAAATACCCGGTCAGAGTGTCCGACCAAGCTAAGCTTTTACCTGTCAAAACCTCAAATTTACCGGACAATTTTCCGATGACCGACTGTTATTTGCAGGCTTGCATTAGTATGGCAACTTTTATCGAAATGACTGAAGTACTGTCAGTGGTGATAGATAATTCTAGTATATTTATTATCCTGTAAGAGGGCCACTAGTTTATTAGTATGTACATACTATTTTGTGTTACCCTCGTTAAATAAAGACTTAAGCACTACAGGGAATGGTTTTTGGTGTACACACGAGTTAGGATAAGGTTGCAGCATAAAATTCAGCTGTACATGGTCTACGTCACATGGGATGAGGATTTCCGAGTTCTAGTGGAATAACCCTTCCTAAAAAGTCACAGGTTATTAAGTTCCCTAGGAACATAGCCAAAGCAGTGGTACTGAATGAAGTGTTCCTTGTACTTGATCTTCTCTCGTAGTCTGTGGGAAGACACCTTAATGATTTTCACCACAGATAATGGTGGTATTCCAGTCCACGGTGGATATAACTGGCCCCTCCGTGGACACAAAGGCAGCCTTTGGGAGGGAGGGCTCAGGGCAATAGGCTTTGTTCATGGAAAAATGCCACAGAAGACTGGAATCAAGTGCACAGAACTACTTCATGTGACAGACTGGTACCCAACTCTTCTCCACATAGCAGGTAAGCTTTCAGTCAAAGAGTATATAATTACCCTAGATTGTTTTACAGACTTTCCTGCCACTTAGTGTTTTTTGCTATTGCATTCGCGGAGGTCACGGGTTCGAATCCCGTCGAAGCCCTGATTTTTTCAGGCTTCTTCTTTCCAATTGCTTA